AGGGCTTTGAGACTGTAAGCTACATTGTATCTGGTTCCATGCAACATAAGGACAGTGCTGGTAACTCTGGCACTCTATCAGAAGGATGGGTATAATGGATGACAGCTGGATCTGGTGTTGTACACTCTGAAATGCCAAGCGATGACATTATGAAAAATGGTGGAAAAATTGAAGGTTTTCAATTATGGGTTAACCTCGGAGCAGAGGACAAGAAGATCCCACCTCGTTATCAAGACACGCCCCCAGAAACGATACCAGTTGTGCCCACGGCCAATGGCAAAGTGACGGTCAAAGTGATAGCTGGGGAAAGTCTCGGAACCAGTGCCAAAATTGAGACCCGGACCCCCATAATGTACTTTGACATTCATCTCAAGGAGGGAGCCAGTTTCACTCAAGATGTCCCAAAAGATTACAAAGGTATACTGTACGTCTGGAGGGGATCAGGTTATCTTGGTGAGGGCGAGTGAGGGTGCAGAGAAGAACGTGAAAATGGGTCAAATGGGAGTGATGGGGGAAGGAGATCGTGTAACAATGACAGCATCAGATGATGAGGAGATGCGGGTATTGCTAATAGCTGGGGAGCCATTGAATGAGAATGTTGTTCGTTCTGGACCTTTTGTAATGAATACGTGGGCAGAGATACAGCAGGCTTATAGTGACTATATCAGTCTGGGAAACTGGGGCAGATTGAGGGGGCGGAGGAGAGATATGCTGCTACTGAAGCTGCTAAGAAGAGACAGAAAGAGTCAGGAAGATGGCGGCAAGGAGATTTATAACTGTGGTAATGATAATGCTATAGTCCTTTATTATAAATATTACTGTTTTGTTTGTCAAGTAAACATTTTTATTTTATACTCATTTATTTTTTAATTCTGTTGACTCTGCATTCTTGATAATGATATTCAGTATTATTGGTGTGTTCCAGTAACTATTTTCATGAGGTACGAGCCAAACCATTCCACAGCCTACAGTCATTGGGGTGGTGGATTGTATAGGCTGGGGAATAGCACGGTCTGGCTAGCGAGACTAACAGATGCACTCATCCTTTTTACAATGTACTATAGCTGGTACACACTGTCGATCTGAATCATCATAATTAATTCTTTCTTTTGTTATATGTGTATTATATATCATACTAAACCAAACGACATCAATAGATGATGTTATTATTTATGAGATATAGAAAATTTCCAAATTTGGGAATAGTAACTGATAACAGTGGGAAGTAAAACAAACAGTCACTGTCACATGACGCTGATGATCCATCAATATAATTCAATTACATATATAAGATTACATAGTTATACTTCTTGTAGTGTTACTTCAATATATAATTACAAGATGATTGATGTCTCTCAATGGAGAGCAAGTATTGGACTGTGGAACTACTGTCAAGCTGCCTCCAGTAGACCAGCTAATGGCCGCCACTCTCACTCATTCAAAGCTGCAGTAGACAGCAAGTCAGGCAGTACTACATCAGGAGAGAAGACATCTAAACTGCCACCAGCTCTGTCTCTTATTGCTTTCCTCCTCCTCCTCTTTCACTCTCTCTCTTTATTAAGACACATCTTGATGATTCCTCCAATAGGTAAACAACAATTGCTACTTTTTACTTGTATATTTACTGGTATTTTATTAGTAGGTAACTGCTACCAAGTACAATGTACTACTGGTGTTACTGTTACTGATACAAATTACCTCCAGTCAGTAGTCTTACCTGGAGGCAGCAGTTCTAACCTGATTTACAACGATCTCTATTTGATTGCTTGTCTACGTATACTCCTCCTCTTATCAGGAGATGTTGAACTCAATCCTGGTCCTATGATTGATGATCGACCTGATATTTCATTGCTAACTCAATGGCTTGAACCACTTGTTGAATGGAAACAATTCGGTTTATGTTTGGTTGGAATGGAAGAGCATGATATTTCAAAAATTGAACAAGAACATGCAAAAATTGAAGACAGAAAGTTAGCTTTATACTCAAAATGGTTGTCAGTCAATCCTAAAGCAACATGGAGACATATCATTGATGTACTGACTAGACTCAATCAGAACAAACTAGCTCAAGATATTAAAGATCACATATACAGTGATGCTGCTTCTACAATGTCATCATTATCACCAAAAACATCTTGCTCTGATGGTAAGCTACACACTATCACTCAATATTGTGTATTGATATAGTATACATGTACATAACAAATAGAATTAACCCTCTCTAGTCTCACATGAAAGCTTGTCTCAATTAGATGCCTGGGGGCTACAAATGTAATAAGGAAATATGAGAGCCCTCAAATAGAAGCCTGTGCATGCATGTTCAAATTAAATTGCTTCCATTGTAACTGATATTGCTAAATGTTTATAGGTGATACTGAAATTATATTTTTTCCAAAAGATGATCAAGCAGTTCAAGATTCATTAGATCAATTACAAGCAACTTTTTCTCACATCATGACAGAAATAAAATCAAAATTTCGTAAAAAGGTACCTGATGATGATGAACTGTCAACTAAAATATGTGATTGGGTTGAGCATCAGCTCAATTTGAAGCATGGTACAGTAGATAATAGTTTAGATGATATTTTTGCAAAGATCTATCATTATTACGACTTCATTGACTGTAGTCTGATAGTTGCTATGTGTAATGAGTTTATAAGTGACGAAAAAGATCTATTAGATGAGTTGAAGACTTATTCATTATATGCTAATAGATTTCGTTCATCAGAGACAATTTTTGATCTTAAACAAAAGCTACGTGATGTGTATAGGCCTTATAGACGACAAATGGATAAAATGCCATTGATCTGTATTGAACTTCAAAATCCTTGGAATGCGGTCAAAATTAATGGATTATATATTCTCATTCAAAGATTACTACCAAAAGAACTTAGACAGTCAATAATGAAATGCATCACTATTGAGGAAGGATCTGTTGTCATCAAGTTACATATTCTTGACATTACAGCCAAAAGCCTAATAAAATATACTGGAGGAAAGTTACAGTTTATGCGTCTCATTGGTATATTTAGATTATACATTAATGATCATCCTGTCCTTCAAGAAGATGAGAATATGAACTTCACCTTTGAACTAGCTATCTTTGAGGCAGTCACAGCTTGTAATAATGAAGCAGTAGAGTTTCTTCTTCAAGCAGTTAATATTGATTATACTTATGAAAAAGGCAAGACAGCACTAATGTTAGCTTGTGAAAGAGGACATAAGGATATTGTACACAGTTTACTGACTGCTGGAGCTAATGTTAACATTCAGGACAATAAAGGATGGACTGCACTAATGATAGCAAGTGAACATAATCACATTCCAATCATTCACATGTTACTACAAGCTAATGCTAATCCTCACCTAAAGGCACTATATGGATCAAATGCTTTGATGATTGCTGGTTATTATGGTAACTATGAAGTTGTTGAGCTATTAATCAGTATAGGAGTTGATTATAAATGTCAAAAGGAAGATGGTTGGAATACTTTTACATTTGCTTGTCAAAATGGTTACACTCAAATAGTTGAACTGTTGCTGAAGGAAAAAATTGATCCAAATGTTCAAATGAATTATGGAGGAAATGCTTTTATGTTGGCTTGTCAAAATGGACATGAACAAATAGTTAAACTGTTGCTGAAGGAACAAGTTGATCCTAATGTTCAAAGACATGATGGAGTGAATGCTCCTATGTTGGCTTGTAAAAATGGACACACTAAAGTAGTTGAACTGTTGCTAAAGGAACAAGTTGATCCTAACGTTCGAAGATATGATGGAGGGAATGCTTTAATGTTGGCATGTAAAAATGGTTGTACTAAAATAGTTGAACTGTTGCTAAAGGAACAAGTCGATCCTAATGTTCAAAATATAAATGGTTGGAATGCTTTTATGCTGGCTTGTCTAAATGGTCACACTCTAATAATTGAACTGTTGCTGAAAAAAAAAGTTGATTGTAATCTTCAAAGACATGATGGAGTGAATGCTTTTATGCTGGCTTGTAAAAATGGTCACACTCATATAGTTGAAATGTTGCTGAAAGAACAAATTGATCCTAATATTCAAGACAGAAATGGCATTACTGCTTTAATGATGGCCAGGCATTATGAAATAGTTAAGTTATTATTAGAATGGAAAGCTGATCCAACTATTGAATCTAATGAAGGCCACACTGCATTATATTATGCCAAAACTAAAGAAACAAAGACTTTACTCCATATGTATTTGAAGAAAAAGAACATACAATTAATGAATAGTTCTAATAAATATGGATCTCAACAAACAATATCCAGTGGATATCATACAGTATCAGATAATTGTAGTATAAGAAGCTTTCCTTCTACTTTAACTTTAGATTCAACAGTAGAGGACTTTGAGGTAGATGCTAATACTTAGCAGTGTGTATACAATTTTAAAAGTTCTGTATTAATTGGCTATTTGTGTTAGCAAAGTTTTATTTCAATTTTTGATTATTACAACTAATAAAAAGTCCAATACTTTTAATAAATTATACTGTACTTCAAAAAACACAAAAGCAGAGCAAAATAAAAAAATTATGCTAATTACTAATTTACTTTTATTGCATGCAATACATCTGGGATAGAAAAGCAGAAGCTTAAAAGCATAATCTGATGGCTCAAACGAGAATAAGACGACTCCACAAACGACTTCTTTCCCTCCACCCTAGCTCTATCAAAAGCTCCTCTCACAGCACTCCTATCATCAATACGAGATATTGCTTTATTGAACTTTTGTATGTCAGGATGAGGAGCGCTACATCTACGTCTCTTGAGGGCCTCCAGTGAGTATTCAGTATCTTCATCATCAGGATCATTATCATTGCTAATGTCCTCATTTGAGCTGTACATGACAGGGATGCTCTGGGTCTCATCTCCTCCTATAACATCTGTGATACTGATATATGTAACATCTCCTCCTGTTGAACTGAGTGCTTGATCAGTTGATAATATAATATGAAACAAATTCAACAGTCAATAATGATATTCAGTGTTATTGGTGTGTTCCAGTAACTATTTTCATGAGGTGCCATATACCACACACATACACTGATACACCCATCCTTAGCTGGTACGTGTGTGTCAACTGCTCAGTTTTGCAATAGCTTGTCTCTTTAGTTAAACTTGTGCTAAGTTTGTGGTAGAAAGGCTTTCTCTTTTCCTTTCATAAAGTCCTTCTTTCTTTATTGTGATGTAAGTGATCACTGAAATAGCTACACCTTAAGTTACCTAATTCTCTCATTGTCCTCCATACTATAGTACAAGATGATTGATGTCTCTCAATGGAGAGCAAGTATTGGACTGTGGAACTACTGTCAAGCTGCCTCCAGTAGACCAGCTAATGGCTGCCACTCTCACTCATTCAAAGCTGCAGTAGACAGCAAGTCAGGCAGTACTACATCAGAAGAAAAGACATCTAAACTGCCAGCGACTCTGTCTTTTATTGCTTTCCTCCTCCTCCTCTTTCTCTCTTTATTAAGACACATCTTGATGATTCCTCCAACAGGTAAACAATAATTGCAATTTTGTACTTGTAAGTTTACTGGTATTTTAGTACTAGGTAATTGTTACCAAGAACAATGTACTACTGGTGTTACTATTACTGATACAAATTACCTCCAGTCAGTAGCCTTACCTGGAGGCAGCAGTTCTAACCTGATTTACAATGATCTCTATTTGATTGTTTGTCTACGTTTGCTCCTCTTGTTATCAGGAGATGTTGAACTCAATCCTGGTCCTATGATTGATGATCGACCTGATATTTCATTATTAACTCAATGGCTTGAACCACTTGTTGACTGGAAACGATTTGGTTTATGTTTAGTTGGAATAAAAGAGCATGAAATTTCAAAAATTGAACAAGAACACATAAAAATTGAAGACAGAAAGTTAGCATTATGCTCAAAATGGTTGTCAGTCGATCCTAAAGCAACATGGAGAGATGTCATTAATGCACTGACCACTATAAAAGAAAATAAATTAGCTCAAGATATCAAAGATAATGAGGCTTTCTCTACAGATTCATTATTATCACCAAGAACATCAAGCTCTAATGGTAAGCTATTTGGCTATACTATCACTTGATAATGTATACTGATATTGCTAAATGTTTATAGGTAACACTGAAATTATATTTTTTCCAAAAGATGATCAAGCAGTTCGAGATTCATTAGATCAATTACAAGCAAAATTCTCTCACATTATGATAGAAATAAAATCAATATTTCGTAAAAAAGTAACTGATGATGGTGAACTGTCCACTAAAATATCCGACTGGGTTGAGCATCAGCTCAATTTAAAGCATGTTACAGTGGATAATAATTTAGATGACATTTTTGCGAAGATACATGTCTACCTCAATTACGACTTCATTGACTGTAGTCTGATAGTTGCTATGTGTAATGAGTTTATAAGTGATGAAAAAGATCTACTTGATGAACTGAAGATATATTCATTAAGAGCTAATACATTTCGTTCAGCAAGACCAATCACTGATCTCAAAAAAAAGCTGCGTAAAGTGTATGGACCTTATAGACAAAATTTGGAGAGTATGCCATTGATTTGTATTGAACTACAGAACCCTTGGAATGATGTTACAATTAATGGATTATATATTCTCGTTAGAAGATTACTACCAAAAGAATTTAGACAGTCAATAATGAAATGCATCACTATTGAGGAAGGATCTGTTGTCATCAAGTTGCATATTCTTGACATTACAGCTGATAGTCTAATAGAATATACTGGAGGAAAGTTACAGCTTATGCGTCTCATTGGTATATTTAGTTTATACATTAATGATCATCTTGTCCTTCAAGAAGATGAGAATATGAACTTCACCTTTGAACTAGCTCTCCTTGAGGCAGTCACAGCTGGTAATAATGAAGCAGTAGAGTTTCTTCTTCAATTAGGTTACATTGATTATACTAATGAAGGAGGCAGGACAGCACTAATGTTAGCTTGTGAAAGAGGACGTGAGGACATTGTACACAGTTTACTGTCTGCTGGAGCTAATGTTGACTTTCAGGACAATAATGGAGTGACTGCACTAATGCTAGCAAGTAAACATAAACACATTTCAATCATTCACATGTTACTACAAGCTAATGCTAATCCTCACGTGAAAACATTATATGGATCAAATGCTGTAATGATTGCTAGTTATTATGGTAACTGTGAGGTGTTAGAACTATTGATTAGTAAAGGAGTTGATTATAAATATCAACGAGAAGATGGTTGGAATGCTCTTGCAGTTGCTTGTCAAAATGGTCACATTCAAATTGTTGAACTGCTGCTGAAGAAAAAAGTTGACCCTAATGTTCAAATAAATAATGAGGAAGGGGATGCTTTAATGTTGGCTTGTCTAAATGCTCACACTAAAATAGTTGAACTATTGGTGAAGGAACAAGTTGATCCTAATGTACAAATTTGGAAAAATGGAACTAATTCTTTTATGCTAGCCTGTCAAAATGGTCACATTCAAATAGTTGAGTTGTTGCTGAAGAAAAAGGTTGATCCTAATATTCAAAGGAATGATGGAGCGAATGCTTTTATGCTGGCTTGCAAAAATGGTCATACTAAAATAGTTGAACTGTTGCTGAAAAAACTAAAAGTTGATCCTAATGTTCAAGACAAAAATGGTATGACTGCTTTAATGCTTGCCAGACATTTTAAAATAGTTAAGCTATTATTAGAATGGAAAGCTGATCCAACTATTGAATCTAATGAAGGCCACACTGCATTATATTATGCCAAAACTAATGCAACAAAGACACTGCTTAATAATTATTTGGAAAAAAAGAAAAAGGATACTGCTAAATATGGATCTCAACTAACATTATCCAGTGGATATCATACAGTATCAGATATTAGTAGTACAAGAAGTTATCCTTCTACTTTAACTTTAGATTCAGCAACAGAAGACTCTGAAGTAGATACTAAAACTTAGTTCATCATTATTTTGTGTAACAATTTTTAAATTCTTGCTGCTATAATAATTCTTACAGACATTTTGTTTGTGTAGGATTTTGAGTGCACTGCTAATGGAATGGTAGCTGACCTATACTATCTACTTTATCAAATAGATGGTAGGATTTTTGAATTTCTAGAGTTTCAGCAAAAAAAGTAAACACAAGAACTAAGACAATGGCAACTCTAAATTGTGATAATTCCCACAATTTAGAGCTGCCACAGGCTTATGAGTTGCCAAATTGATAACAGCAAGAAAAGATGTTGTGTTGCTTTTGCATGGTCTGCAGTATTAATAGCACCATTGAATTCTTACCTCTTCTACCTTGTCTCTCTTCTGAATAACATAAAAAACATAAAATGTATCAGAAAACCTGAAACTGTAAACCATAATTGAAAAATTCAACAAAATACAGTATACTTGACACAGTGTGACAGCTCAAACGAGAATAAGACGACTCCACAAACGACTTCTTTTTCTCCACCCTAACTCTATCAAAAGCTCCTCTCACAGCACTCCTATCATCAATACATCAATATCATCAATTTTGTATGATTGACAGATAAGAAGTGATGTTGAAGTAGATATTATGCTATGTGATTTTAGTGCAATGAGATTAGTATAAGCTACAAAAGAAGTAGATAATATTAATATTTTTAATTACATGCAATTTATTTTTTGCTGCTTGAAATAATTTTTTGTGCATATAGCATCCTTATTTCCTTTTGTCTTTCCTCTTTTTTTCAGCTAAGCCCAGGATGTAAACAAAAGCTGTTTTAAATAGTGTAAACACAAGATAATAGTGTGAACAAGGTGCCAAAAATAAGCAACAAAAGTATAAATTTGTAAATGTTTTCAATGCAAAAATGCTAAAGGATGCATTATGAGCTATTTTTAATTGTAAAATTCAAGAAATATTCTTTAAATAGAAAAATAATAATAAGCATAAAAGCACAAAGCAAGGAATCAGTGTTAAAATCTTTAAAATTATAAAATAAAAAATGCAGTCATGTAAGCTAAAAAAGGAGCAGAGGGAGAGAAATGTTTACAGTTAAGGTAAAAAGAGAACCAAGTATAAAAAAATAGAAATAAATAATAAACAAGTGTGTGTATTATCACTGTCTAATAT